TTAATCTTTTAAAGCAGTTGGTTATTTAGTAAGTTTTAATTTGTTGAATTTGTAAATGAGATAGATTGTGAGTTTGGCTCAATCGATCACACATATATACAATTATGCATATATATAGAGAGGGAACTTATGCCACCCAGACATTCCATATTTAACCCTGTGGTTTTGAAGTGATTTGAAGGAACCGTCTCCGTGCAGGTCTCCTTGATTACACCACATTCTTCAAATTGCATGCTTGTCTTCACTATTCCCTCCCCTGATAAATTAATATATAAAAATACAATTCAAATATTTGTTTGTTACGGCTAATCTGATAAACCTGTGGCATAATTTCCGTTATATAATTTCATGATCTAGATGGGTAATACATCAAGTATATAATTTGGGTCTTGAAGACAAAATTAAAAAAAAATTAATAATTTGTGTTTTAAACGAATTAATTGTGATGGTGGTAGTTCAGGTGGGATTGATAGCTGGGTGAGGCTGTGGGGGCAGTGAATGTGTCAGGAAAGTAATAGCTATAGGGAATTGGCTTGATGCTGAGGTCGTCTTGAGATGTGCATGCATATGTAAATGTTGATTGTAGCTAAGTGGTGGTGGTGGCATGATCGCAGCGTTGAAGCGGGTGGCAAAACTAATAGAGAAAAGAGTGGAATGGCAAGACGTGAAAATGGAAGTTTTGATTGTCATTGACAAACCAAACACAAGAGTAATGGATACATATTCCTGATATTAAAATTTTTGGAAGCCCTAAGTTTGAATAACATATTCAGTCATGTCGGGCTCTGCCAATGGAAGGAGTCCTTTATGGATTCAATGAAGCCAATGTTAAAAATATTATTAAGGTGTCATTTGGTATGAGTGAATTACTGGGATTGGAATCGGCATTCGAGTTCATTTGCTATCCTAGCAACCATTCCTAGTAACACGGGATCTCTTATTCCTGATTCTCCCATGTCATTAGACAAATAGTACAATAATACTTTTAAATCAAGTTTTGTTTAGTTCTTTCGACACATAATTTACATCGTAAATCAATAAGGCCTAGTTTGTTATTATTTTCTGTTATTTTCACACTAAGCACTGAATATATATATATATTTATATATATAAATATATATATATAGATATATTTATTTTTTTTTTTTTCGATTGATGCATATAATCCAGTTAACTATTCTTATACCTGAAATAGGAAGTTTGCTACATTTTAGCACCCCTACATGATAAAAACTGTCATATCTGTGAATTCACTGAGCAATGTCCAATCAGACTGTATATTATAGTTAGCAAGAGCTCTGTGTTAAATATGGAAGACAACAGAAATGAATATTTCAGTTACGGGTGGCCAGGGCTTTTATCTAACACTTTCAGGCCTTACAGTTATTTGAGCTTGAGCTCAATCTGATGAAACATGAAAAACAAGGAAGAAGAATTAATTTGAAACAGCAGGCTCCTTCAAATTTAAATGACTATAATGGGATAAGTAGAAGTATTCTGGTTTCCTTTTCTATTGTTACAGTTAATTAAATTCCAAGCATGGAAAACTTACTAAGTTTCAGTAGTTTATTGTGTTAGTATCCAGTTATTTTTTTCCTCATTTACTATATTTTAACTAGGTCTAGTGATTCCAAAACATGTTCCCTGTGACTTGGTCCAGTGTCTGAGAATAATGACAACAGAGCTTAAGATACAAAATACTAATCACATTTATATTTGATTATTTTATTTTATTTTAATTTTTTTTCTGTCAACATGTTTATCTGACTCTATTTCTTGTACTTCCAGTTTCAACTTTTTTGTATTTTCTTTAGCACCTACAAATTCAATAATGTCCAACGCTGCCGTCTTTCAAGCTTAAAAGTTGTCATTCCATATGTACCACCTTTTTGATTGATTTAGTCCTAGTGCTTGTTTCCACTGACACATGTTTCCGTACTATTTCCTTTTTATGCCTATTATCTACCAAGTATAACTCTGTTCCCTTTCTATTTTTTTTTTTCCTCGTTATGTTATATAGTTATTTCTCAAGATTTTGTATTGTTTATTAGTTATTACATAGTTTTCAGGTAAGCTTGTAAAACTTTTACCAGTTGTCATCTGCTTGCAGGACTTTTAGAGCAAGCATCTGACATAAGAATGACTTCATTGCAGAACAAGATGCAAATGAATGAATTGGCATTTCTTCCTGTTGACATTATCATTAACATTCTCCTTTGGCTTCCTGCTGAATTTCTGTACAAGTATGGGAGGCTGGTTTGTAAGCAGTGGGCTAGGATTATAGGCAAGCCTTCATTTGTCAAGTCACACCTAAAAAAATCAAGAAGTGGCTTGCTTATCCAATTTTTTGAAAGACGTCATTCCATTTTCCTTGAGATGAAATATGGGGGATTCATAATGACACATATAAGACAGCATTTTCGTATATTACTTCAGGATAGTTGTAGAGGATTGTGCTTATTTTGTGGTTCTTATTCCAGTAAATCTCTTTATGTTCAAAATCCTGTTACAGGGCAAACTGTGAAATTGCCTTCTTGTTGTGAGGTCAAAAATGAAAATCATCTCTTTTCTCATCTTGTTTATATTCCTCAGAATAAGGAATATAAAGTGATATGTATGTGTGGTGCCTTCGACAACTATAGTTGGCGTGTATTAACATTAGGAAGAGATGTGGCTTGGAGGAAACTTGGTTCTGTGCCGACCACGGGTTTTGAAGACAAATGTACTTCTGCTTCTGTAGGAGAGGTGATTTATGTGGCCCAAAGCAAGAGCACCATCTTAGCAATTGACCTACGGATGGAATCTACTTGCTACTTTAAAGTCCCAAATGGATTCATTGACCAGGATTATTCGCTTTTAAGTATGCAAGACAGTTTGACTTGTGCTGTAACTCGAAAGGATGATGTATGTATATGGTTGTTGGACTTTTATAAGGGAGAATGGACAAAAGTTTGTGAGATCAAACATCTATGTAAAAGGATAAAAATGAAGCGGCATGATATTTGGGCCATTGGTTGGTTAGACAACAGTCACATTGTCTTTAAAATGAAGAAGGTGGAACGCTCCAAAAAATGCCCTGTTGTAGCCTATAATGTGAAAACCGGAGAAGCATCCATTTTTGGTGGTAAAGATGGAATTGATGCCCATATTTGTCGAATTCATACAAACTCTCTTGTTTCCTGGTATGCAGCTTTCTTTGACAGATTCAATTAATTTTTTACGAAGCTGAGATTTTTTTTTTATTGTTTACGATTGACTGTTTAAGCTCTATTGTTCCTTCAGATTTCATAGTTCTCAGTTATATAATGTTACTGTAATTGGAAAGGATGATCGTTTTACTATGTTAGGTCGATATATACTTGATCATTTTCTTTATTCAGAAGTTCAAAAGTCAACTCGAGAAATTTTAATGTCAGAAGGTCAGTTTTTACAATTAAAAACGCTCTTGCCACTTGGTTATATATTATACTTGCTCGGTTGAACTAGAACTAGAGTTTGTTTGATGTAGATTTTTTGAGAACAGATTGTGAAAAGTGATTTTTTTGGGAGAATTTGCGGTTAAAAAATAGGAAAAAATCATGGTCCATGTGCAAAATTATTTATTTGGGAGAATGTTGGTTGAAATTGAGTTTGGAGAAAAATGAGTTTTTAAGAATCTCTACCAAATATGGCCTAGTATTTCATATTACACTTATCTGCAAGAGAAATGAAATCGTAAAGCTGTTTCACATAACTCTTTTGACATTCTTCTGTTCCTTACGAGAGATGTGTCGTGTTTCTGTCCTAATCTATTCGGAACCTTGCAGGTAATTCTTGCTGAATATCCAAAAATGACAACACAGTAATGGAAAAGTAGAGAACAAGAACATCAGTTTTATTTGAGCCTAAATCCCGCCTGGGCAGTTCACAGTACACTAAGAATTTTTGATAGTCATTCCTGTACTGTGCTCTTCTGTCTTCTTTCCATTTACCCTTTCCTTGCCATTTGGCATAGGACAAGATGTAAAATAGGGTTAAGGCTTCAGTTAAGGATATTCTTTTTGTTTGTCGCACAATAAAACTTTTTGAATTCTCGGTATTGACTGGCTAACTCATGGATGACTTAGATTTTCTTCAATCTTGATGAATGGAAATCTGGTCTGATTTTCTGTACTTTGATGTCTGGTTATCCTAGTTTCTTATACTTTTTGCTGCTCCTTTTCCTTTAGATTGAAATATAGTTCACAAATTTCGTCCCATTGAAGATGTCTCTCTTGTGTGCATTTCATATCAACAATAATGCATGAATTAAAGCCAAGAAATTTTACTAGGCTTAATTGACATAGAGGGAATCCTGATGGAGCTTGTTTTGCAGAGCTTAAAAGTAAATTACTTGTAATCAAATTTAGTTTGTAAATATAGAATAATGCATAGCATATTAGCATGTTAAGTCATGACTTCTTTAACTTTGTTTTCTTACCGCATGATTCATGGTTCTTAATGCCATGTTTGACCAATATATACGTAGACGTCAGAAAATGTAACTAAAAAATTGTTCTTAAGCATGATAGTACATCTTATAATTTAAAAGATTAATCATCTTAAATATAAAACAAGGGTCATTTTCTGAATAATTTATAACTTAGATTTACCAGAAGTATTTTTTGTTTTTGAAGTTGAGAGTGTTAACTTGTCTGATTACCCACTAGAGTTCATGAGAACTCAACTTGTAGGGCACATGTTGAAGGGATAATATGATATATATACAGGCTAAAATATACTACAATTTGAAAAATACTGAAAAAGATGAAATAGGAGAAAAATACTGCACATTGCCATGTTACTAAAAAATTCCCAATCTATCCTGTTTTTGCATCAAAATTAAAACTAGCTCCTAATCTGCCAGGATCATCCGTCTCCGGTGAAGATTCAGCTGCCATTTTCATCATGTTGGAAATCAACGATTGCTTCTCGCCGACTTCCTAGCTGCTGGATATCAAATGTTCCCCACAATTATCGTTCTAGACATATGTTTGCCGATCAACATTCTTATTGCCATCAATCTACCCAAATAAAAAGTTGCAAGCCAAAAAGTTAATGATAGTCATAAAAAGTTAAATGCAGAAAATAAAAGTGGCAAAAACGCGCAAAAATTCGCACCCTCTCAACAAATTCACGGAGGTTGAAAAACTAATAGGAAACTAGTTCAGAAGTTGCATTTTGAATATCGCACTACCTTCCTCTCTGATTCAACCTCACCAGTATAAACTACCATCTGAAGATCAGAAGGCTTTGGAAAATTCCCCGTGTTCCTGTTTTTTATCTCACCCATCAAATCTGCGAACGTATTAGCAACAAATCGCCTTAACGCTATCATTTCAAGCTTCAATTCCACTTGGTCAGAAGCTAATTGATGCTGTTTTGATTGAATATCGGCCAAACGATTGATAATTTCTTCATTGAAGCATCTCTAAAAACCCAAGGCACAACAAAAAAATAACAAATATCAACAAAAAAAATAGTATACAAATGATATAAACTACAAAAATGTAATTAATAAAAAAACCAACCTCATTCTCTTTGCATTTAGCAGCCTTTGTAGAACTGTTTGTATGAGTAGATAATTCCTTGGATACACAGGGTGAATGAGATGGCTTCGATGCACATACCTTTGGATCCTCAAAATCAGAGTCCAGGACTCGCCGACCCTTATCAATCAAGCCAACCATGTATGCTTCCTCCTTTTCATCATCATTTGGCTCAACAACATTAACTTCCAACTAGAAACATGACAAAATAAGTGACAAAAAAAAGTAAAAAGCACATAATATAAAAATGATAATATAACAAAAATAAGTAGCGTGTCTATAAACCACTTACTCTCATGAGGTCAAAAACATTCTCGTTCAATTTCGATGATGTAACGTGCCCTTTGGACCTCCAATTCAATATCCTAGGATGCAACACATTAACCTTCGTACAAAATTTTCCCTCTAAACATGGGATTGTCTCATAAATCCACAATTGAAATACAAGCGGAAAGCCATTAAGCCTATATGCCTCAGAAGCTTTCTTCCCCCCCTTTACAGTTAATGATTTGTTCCTTAATGCAGACTTAAGCGATGAAAGAGTAATCCTATAGAGTTCTTTCCCCCAAGCAAAAGTTTCCATTTCATCCAAATCAACAAGAGCCATAAGGGAATCATCAACCAATTTCTTGTAAGATGTTGTAAACAAGAATGATGTAATTAAGTATAGAACACCAATCTTTACAACATCCTGGTCATTGGCATCTTTCAGGTTAACAAAAACTTCTTTAACTTTAGATCTTGTTATGTTTGGAAGGTGTCTAAAATAAGTATCCTTAATCCTACTCGGTCTCGACTGGTACTTCAGAAGGTCATCATTACCCGTGCATCTAAGTCCAGTTATTAAACAAAACTCGTGTATTGAAAATCGCACACACTTCTCACCGATCTTGAACCACATCTCATCCAGATTCGGTTGCTTCACCTCCCTCAACAGTACTTGATGAATCAACTGAGGCTGCAATGAAATTTCCTTCATATCCACATACGGACCAAAGCATGTCTTCCTGAACAATGCCCTCTGATCATTAGACAAGTTTCCGCACAAGTTTGAGATAACCATGTCAGTTGAAGACACATTAACTTTGCCTGCAAACCATTTATCGTGGTGTATAATATAGTCCCAATGCTATACAACAAAAACAAAAAATAAAAATTAGTAAAATCATATAAACAACCAGATTCTATTGAATTCCAAACTCTCAACAAAAGAAAATTTCCAATGCTCAAATTTTATCCAAATGAAAGTACACTGTCACATAATTTTCAACATGCAATTTGATGCAATGATGTATGTAAAATATGACAAAAGACTTTTAGCTAACTGTAACTTTTCAAAAATGATAACATTTATAGTTGCAATTCCCATAGTCATGTAACTATTGGGCGGAGGCTTATGGACAACTATTATAGTTTACATCAAAACTGAAGCAAAATTCGGCAAGCCTAATTCATTTATTTCACCTGCTACAACTTGCAGGTGCTCGCAAAAGAATATCCAATGTCGTAGCCACGTGCATGCAAACTACCATAAACATTTAGCTCACCGTTTGACTTTCAGTCCACTGCATGTATTAGATATGCTTCCAGAAAATTTCTTATCAATTTTCATTTTAACAAGTTTTCCATGTGTACTGTCCCATTTTTCCTGAAGAACTACTATAACTTCATTATATTAAATATTCAAATTAGTAACATAGTATGAATTTCAGTATTCTATAGTCCCATTTTTCCTTAATATTAAAATCAACAGAATTAGTGTGATTGATAACATAGTATGCCAGCAAAGAAAAGAGGCACTGGCACATAATGGGTACACAAAAGAAAGCCCCATAAAGGACCCCATTTCTCAAATTAGAACCCAAAACTGAACCAAAAGAAGCGTGGATTAAAGTAACTTATAACAAGCTTATACCATAAAGTAGAAAAATTACAAAGATAACAATCAATTATGAATTTCATAGAGTAAAATGTTTCAACACTCACCCAACTTATACCATAGTCATGGTTTACTTATCAAACTTCTTCCCAACATATGTGAAACGCAACTTTCACAACCCCATAAATTTGTTCAAGCCCCAATTGTTCCTTACCAATTTCAGCACTAAAAAACCCTAGCTCTCAATACACTCATCTCCCAAGTATAGCTAAATTGTGTACTGAAACAATATCGATTGTTGAGAAGGATGCGAGAAACTATTACTTATAAATTCCTATCCCCCGATTGTACCATCTACCCAACGTCTCTTTAATCCCAATATTCCATTTTTGTTGGCATGTGTCCGACCATTTGAGGAAGGAAATGTCATCGAACTTCGATGGTTGGTGTACGACTGAAATACCTTCTGGTCGTGTTCGTGTTTATTGTTCTTTATTCTTCTTTATCAAATGGTCAGATAGACGCCTACAAAAATGAAAGACTGAGATTAGAGAGATGCTGAATAGATGGTACAATTGGGAATAGGACTTTATAACTAGTACCTACTTGTGTCAACAATTAGCCGTGTCTTAGAACACAATTTAGTAGTACGTAAATGAGATGAGTGAATTGGGGGCTAGGGTCTTCTGAGGCTAAAATTAGAGATGAATGATTGGGACTTAAAGAAGTTATATGGGGCAATAGAAGCCAGGTTTCAAATATGGAGATTTTGGTGTGTTGGATAGTTTGAATGAGTTGTAATTTTTTTAATAAACGTGACTTACTAAACGAGATTTTTGCGTAACACGTTAGCAACAAGGAGAACGGAATTTGCGGATGATACATGGAGTGCAACGTCTCGAAGATGAGTGACCATTGAAAAGATGTAGGGAGTTTTATAAGTAAACCTTGACCATATTATAAGTAGGGTGATTGAAAAGTTTTGGTTGAGTTGTAATTTTTTAACGATTGTAAATTGCCATGTGAGATTTCCATACGATGTGTCAGCAACGAGAGGGATGGAATCTAGCGGACTATGGATGAAGTGCAACATCACAAAGACGAGCACCATTGGGAAGCCATTGAAAGTTTGATGAGGGTTAGATGAGTACACCGTGACTATAGTTTCAGTTGGGTGAATAATGAAACATTTTACTCAATTTCCTACTGCACAAATAATATGCAGCAGCTCATTTATTTTGCGTGAAGCATAGTACATAAAGCCAACTTGAAGGAATGGAAATAAAGATTCACATATACGGGCAGTGCAATGTACACAGTATGAAAATGTTCAACTCAATCCCAATTTTTTTAATAAATAAAATCGATGTTCATTATAATCACGACTCACCTTCGGTTGATACGGCTGGTCTTCAAAATGATCATTGCCCACATTTGTTTTCTTCTTTGCTTTTGATATTTTTCGTACCTTGTCTCGCTTTCTCTTCATCTTCTTCTACTCCAGAACCCTCGTTTTCAATTTAGACAGAGAATTGCCACTACAGGTCAAAACAATTGCTTCGAGTGTGGATGGTGGACGGCACGAATGATATTCGGGATTTTTGCCGATCCTCGTGAATTCAGGCTATATAGTTTTGGGGATTTTCGGAGTTTCACTGAGATAGTGTACGGCACCGCCAATGGTGGCCGCGATTTTTTGCCAGTTCTCGAGATTTCAACCGATCATTTTGACGATTTTAGGAGTTTTTTTTTTTTTTGAAAGATTTCACTGTTGTGATTTNGTACATAAAACTTTATCTACGTCCCATCATAATTTTTTTTCCTTCTCACTCACGGTTTTCTTCTACTAATGCATTTCCATTTAATTTTTTTTTTTTAATTTCTTAAGCTGACTTTTCATTTTTCTCTACTAAGCATACCATTCGAATCATTTACTAAATGACAACCTTCAAATCACTTAATGCCATTATGTTAATTATAAAACAAAACTGCCATTCATATGAAAATGGTGCCTACACGTTTATAACTCATAACCCACCACCATTTATACTCCTAATTAATATTCAATTACCACTGTTTTAAATCCCATTTTGGTTAATACCAATTAACCAATTACCAATATCATTTTTGCATTTGAAAAATAATAATCTCATATAACTTGTAAGGTCACATTTCCTTTCCCAAACTAATATGCCCACACATAAATTATTCTGCTTTTCTTCCCATAGACTAAGGCATTTGATTCTAAAAAAATTTTCTAAAGAAGAAGTAAAGAGAATGTTGAATTTTATTATATATTGAACGTAAGAGGATATTCAAACTCAAAGTGTTTAAGGAAGGGGTGTTTCGGCAATTTTGTAAGTGAAGTAAAAATTACTTGTTTTCGATTTGCATTTAACGTGTTATTGTGTTACTCATGAGAGAATGGAATCGCCATTTGGTGTTTCAAATAAGATATGAAGAAATGATTTATGACACATGAAAGGGGGTTATTAAAACCCGAAAGTAAATGAACTGATTGATCACCGGTTCATTTTGCATAATTGACGGTGACACAAATAATTAAAATTGCATTTTTTAAAAACTATATTTTTTACCATTTACTTAAATATTTTATACTGAGTATTACTTGTGGTACTCACTCCTACAAAATTTACAGGTTAATTGAAGGCATGACAATGGTTTGGCGTAGTAGCAAGTGCTCAGCGATCGAAATGCTTTTAACTTTTTAGTAAAATTTTCATTTGTGTAATTTTTTTTTTATGAATACTTAGGCAACACTTTTAAAATGTTTAACTTTCTGTTTCGCCTAGTTTTATATATATTGCACGTCGACTATAATTTAGAAACGTTGGAATGATTAAGCATGAAGTTTATTTATTGTTGGATTGAATTTCAGATTCTATTCTCCTATTTAAAAATGGTATAACTTGGGTTACAGTGCGTGTTTTAGAGTGAAATTAGTGGGGTTTGAAAGGACTATGAGTCTTTTAATAGGGATCTTTGGAATTATCTTAAAATGTTACATGGAGAAAAAGTTATGTCCGTTTTAGTAAACTGCGTAGGTACAGTTTCGAAATTTCTGTCCTGCATAGTTGAAAAATATTTTTGTGTCGAGACCCCAATTTTTTTTATATGATGTATGTATATAAATGTCATAATCTCTGCTAAAATTTCATAATTTTTAGTCGACGTTTGTTAGGCCAAACATATTTTTCTTTCTATTGCTGCGCAACCGGTAGTTGCTGAATTTTCTCGAAATGTTTTCCAAAATCAAAATTCACCATAATTGTCTAAGTCTATGTGGTCACATATCTCCCATTATTATTCTTTTATATTTCAAAATTCAAAATTTTTATTAGTTACAATATGTTTTGGTTAACATTAGAGACCCCCCACTAAAAAGATTTTTCGTGTAATGTTTCGAATTTCAAGCATTTTTTTTGGGGTGTTACAACTTGTTATAGAGAAAATGTCTATTTTCTGTAGGCTTGTATTAGAGATCATATCTCAGGTATGTTGTGTCGCATATAAAGCTGTTCAAATTATTTTTTCTTGAGGATCCTGAGCACCATGCTTGCCATAGCCACGTTATGCCGATTTTAAGGTAAAGAAGTTTTATAGATATACTTGTATCTATGTGATGAGTATGAGAAAGGTTATTTTAGATTCAACATTTGGAATGTATATATAAATATTATTATATGTTGGAGTTTGAATACTTTTTGTAGATAATCACTATCGTACCAAGTATTTTGAGAATGTGTCCAAATTCAATATTTATTTAAGTCTTCGAAAATTAACTAAAACTTATTAGATACCCACTAATTGGACTTCGAATAATTGGTATGACATAGATGGTATGGATTAAGAAAACTTGTACGAAGATGAGTTCATAGATGCCTCGTCGATATGAAATCATGAGGCAATATGAAGAGTATAATTAAAATTCAGCGCACAATATGGGTCAGCACATTTGGGAAATGTTAGTAAGGTGGAAGGATGTGAGGCGACTTGGCCATATGGTCACTTGTTGTCTGGCCACCCGTTTTCTTAATGGTACCCTGCCAGAAGAGTGGCTAGAGGTAGCTGAATCGACCTGTAATTATTTATGGGAAGTTGCTGTGCCTACCTTATCTCGAGAGATTGACTATAAGGCCTTCAGCGCAGAGCTTATTAAGTAGTGGGAGTTGGCCCGACTTGTGATTCTCGAGGACGATAGTGTATCTATTGAGATGTACATTTGTGAAGATGTACCTCAACTTTTTTCAGACGATGAGGCACAACCTTCTAAGAAACCTAGGGTTCATGGAGGTTGGATTAGTATGATGATGGAAATGATGAACAGAAGAGTGAAATTTTAGTGGATTTTATTAAGTTTAATTGTTGTTGATGCCTAGTAGTATTCCTTTTGCTTTCTTGTTGATTTGTGCTAGACGTTATTTTATTATTGTGTATTCCTCTTGAAAGATTATTTTGAGATAATAATAAAAGATCTTGGGTTGTAAATCTTTTTTCCTCCTATTTTGTGCAAGTATCGTATATTCCTCTAAGTGAGATTACAATTATTATGGGATATAGGAATATGGCGCAAGCAAGGACGATTGGGGAGTTAAGGGGGGGATTGATGAGCTGAAGTTGGCCTTGACTGCTCAAGCTACACCTTCAGCACCTCAAGCTCTACCAGTTCTCCAAGCACAGCACGCCAACATACTCGGCTGCTCATTTATTCCGACTATAGAATAGTTTCGTAGATATCCTCACCTTTGATGGCTGGAAAAACCCTCTGGCAGCTGAGGAGTGGTTGTGTACTATTGAGAAGATCTTTCGGAACATCTCTTGTCCAGAAGATTAAAAGGTATTATGTGCCGAGTTTATTCTACTTGGAAGAGCTAGTCATTGGTGGGAATCCTCATCATGCACTCGTACCGAAGAGGAACAATGCAATCTAACTTGGCCTCAGTTTAAGATAGAGTTAATAGAAAAGTATTTCCTGCAAGCTATTCGAGACTATAAGGAGGCATAATTTTTAAGATTGGTATATGGAGATATGGAAATTTCTGAGTATGAGAGCAAGTTCGAGAAATTATACCGATATGGCCTGCACCTTATAAGTACCGAGCTCATGAAGGCAAAAATTACGAGAGAGGCCTATGCCCAGAGATCAGGTAGATTGTGAGTTTACACGATCCCACCACCTTTAAGGCAGTGATAAAGAAAGCTCAAATAATGACCTCATCGAGTGTGAAGTTGGTAAATCATAGACCTCGTAATGGCTTCAAAAAAAAGGAAGTGGCAGGATAAGAATAAAAATACATGATAGTTTAAGAAGTAGACGAATACGGGTCAGACAAGCGATCTTTTACCTTAATGTCCTAAGTGTAACAAGTTTCACAGAGGAGAATGTTTGTATGGAAGGTATGTTTGCTATACTTGTGGTCAACCCGGTCATGTGGCTTCCTCATGGCCATTGATTAAGAAACACGAGCAAGAGAAGAAAGGAAAAGCAAGAGTGTTTGCTTTGACTCATGACGAAGCTACCCAGAATCCGGACTTAATCGTATGTAATTTATCCGTCTCTAGTATTCCCGTTTACGTCCTTATTGATTCTGGTGCGACTCATTCGTTCATATCTAATACATGTCTAGCTAATATTAATACTTCATGTTAGAAGAGTGATAATGTACTTGAGGTTAGTATGCCATCAAGGGGAATTATTGATACAGATTGCATAGTAAATGGGGTACAAATAAATTTTGATGGACTGACTTTAGTGGCCGACTTGTATGTTATAGAGATAAAATATTTTGATATTATTTTTTGTATGGATTGGTTAGGTAAAAATTGAGCCACAATATTATGTTTTGAGAAGGAGGTAATTTTCGAAGACCGGGAGGAGAGGAATTCAGATTTTATGGATCGAAGATTAAGGCACTTCCTCGAGTTTTCTCGGCTTTAAAGGTAGATAGCATGTTGAGGAAGCATGAATGTCGGAGAATAGAACAGTCAGAATGATCCACCTCAACTCAAGAGAAAATATTAGATTATGTGTCAATAGTAAGAAAGTATGCCGACATGTTCCAGATGATCTACCGGGTACTCCGCCCAATAGACAAGTGGAATTCACGATAGATCTGGTACCTGGAGTTGCTCCTATGTGCAAAGCCCCATATCGGATGACACCAAAGGAATTATAAGAGTTGAAGATGTAGTTAGAAGAACTTCTAGACAAATGGTTTATTAGATTGAGTGTATCTCCATTGAAAGCTCCAGTACTCTTTATAAAGAAGAAAGATGGTACTATGAGGTTGTGCATCGATTACCGTGAACTAAATAAGTTGATGATCAAGAATAAATATCCCATTCCTAGGATTGATGATCTATTTGATCAGTTGAAGGGTGCATCCGTGTTCTCAAAAATTGATTTAATGTCGGGCTACCATCAACTGAAGATTAAGTCGGTAGATATACCAAGGATGGCATTTAGGA